AAAAAAAAAAAGGTAAAGGCTTGTTTGCAGTATTTTATCTCTGTGTCTGGAGAATATTTTTATTTTGGTTCTGCAAATGCAATCCTGAATGAATCCTGAATATATTCTATCACGGCTGGTTCACATTCACAAATGCATTTATGTTTGTGTGTTTTACAATGTTGCTGATTCTGATGATAGAAAATAGCACCTTGTGTTCACAGCAGGAGCTAAGAACAAGTCTTGAATCCCAGCAAGATTCCCTGAGTCAGGAATCGTCACTGCTGTGTCGCGAGATTGAACAGTGCATCAAGCGCCCGCCCAAGACAGGTACTGCTTTTATGTCTGTGTGCTCCTGGTTTGTGCCTTTTTTAGACCAGAATGTGGTTGCTGGTCATGTGGTTTCTGAAGGGTGACAGCTGCCCGTCTCCTGAGGCTGAACCAGGGTGTATTTGATGACAGTGATTGCTTTAGAACTTACCTGAAGTCAAGTTTGAACAGGCACCTTGCCGACTGTCACCGGAGTAGCACCTACGGTCCCGGCTCGTTGGTGCTCATCTGCCCACGGGTCAGCACCTCTCCTCGGACGTACGCACGTTTCTGTGAAGTTTCAACGCTGAGAAACACCTGAGGTGTCTGGTGGTGACAGCTTCCTCCAGCCTGCAGAGGGACACCTGTGCGCTCCCAGTACAGGAGGAGAGTTTGCTGCAAACGTTCTGTTTTCATCGGTACAAAACCGTACACGTGTTGAGCACTTGCGGGTGAAGAACAAATTCCATTCATGTACACGAAAAGCTGTACTTTTTCGGTAACTTTTTTTCCCAGGAATAATGTGCTGTTTGTGTAGTGAACGGAATATGTGGCCTTTTAACTGAAGTGCTTCTCGTGGTCTTTTGCGATTGCTCTACAGCCCTTGTAGGAAAGTAGTAAGAGAATAGCATGTCGGGAGACTTGCACACACTGAGGTGTGTAGAGGGAGGGTGGGTTTGGCTCCTGAAATGTTTTCAGAAATCGAGGCAGTTTTGCTTCAAGGTGTTTTTTTTTTCCCCTCCCCTCCATCACCCAAGATGTGGAAAACCTTCAGCGTGACGCTGCGAGAGCGCGGGCCGAAGCAGCAGTGTTTCAGGTAAGCTGTGTTCGCACAGAACCGGACACAGACCATGGCAGGTGTCCCGCGTGAGACCGGGGACGCGTCCCTCAGGGACAGTGCTCAGCCATGGCAGGGATGCCTGCGGGCACGCTGGCATTCATCTTCCGAAGGCAGGGCTCCTTGGAATGTCAGAAGGTTTCAGTTTGACCAGTGCAGACTAAGCCGTTCAGAGCCCAACATTAACCTTCCCCTTGCACAAGAGGAGTAATGCTGATTTCCTTCTTTCAGGAACTGCAGTGCTAGAATTCGGATAAGGAAGGGGAAAGCTCTGTAAGCACAAGCAGCTTTTTCTCAGTAATGGGAAAGTAGCCGTGGTCTAGTTGGAGAATAACCAGCAGCCCCTCTGCCCTATAGCGCTGGCGTGCTGCCCGCTGGGGATCGTCCCTGCACCGCGCCGGGTCGTACCGCACCAGCGCCTGCCCTGCGCTGTGCTGAGCCCCTCCCCAGGCACATCCTGCCAGCAGGTAACTGCAAATACCGCTGGCCACGAGGACTCGCTCCTCTGGGAAGGGTGTTTACTGCCGCCAGACAGGCGGGGAGCAGCCCCTCCTCGGTGGCTGGCTGCTACGCACACCGGCCCCCAGGAGCGTACAGTGCCACGCGCGGAGGCGGGGATAACCCCCCCGTCGTGCATCACCCTTGCGTTTCCCACCCACGCAGGAATTAGAGACAAAGTAGTTTTTACATGGGAACACACTGAGTAGTAGGTATGTACAATTTATTTAAAATACTTTTTAACATACATATAAAACCCCCTCACTATTTATACAGCCTAAATTCTAGCAACATATACAGATACTGGGCAACTACAATCCATGCTGAGGTAAGAACATACATTCTGGGAGAATACTCGAGCCAAACACGACTGATACACATTTGATATCCCTCTGTCTTCACGTGTAGAAGAGGCCCATCAAACGTACCTCTGCTTGGGCGGTACGCAGGAGAATGCTCAGCTCAGGCGTGCACCTTCCGCGTGGGAATCGGCGTTGAACCGTTTGGAGCGTGTGCTTTAAACCCAACCGTTAGGAACTCAGACTCCGTAGCCCTAGCAGGTAACGTTTTCAAAGTTGAAAGCAAGGAGCAAAGCTTGGGAACAATTTCTTTCAGAAAAGGGACTTAAAGTTCTTAAAAACAACTACTCTGGTCAACAGCTCGTGCTGCTCAGATAAGGAACCCGCTTAAAAGATAACCCACTGTAGAGAGACTGTTTCACTCTCTCACCACCTCAGCCTACAGTAAAAATTAAATCCAAGAGTGTTAATTTTTCCACTTATTTTTATGGTAGATTAAATTTTCTAGGCCTAAACTTGTACAGTTTGAGGTCGCAGAGGTCTCTCGTGAACTTGGCTGGAATAAGCGTGTCACATCACGGTGCCAGTAAGTAACCTCTCGCTCCTCTCAGATTGGGTCAGCCCGGGTGGTTTCGGAGTCGGAGCTGCTGGTGGCGGGGAGCGCAGACACTTGCCTGTTGAAGCACAACTACAGGGACTGCAGAACAGCTTTGTCAGGCAGAAAAAGCTGCAGCAACACTGCCGATACAACTCCAGGCAGGGGTTTCTTTTTCAGGAATGGGTCTGTGTGCCACCCTCGCTTGCATTCGCATTCAGACACCGTTCTCAGTGAGCGAGCATGAATGATTCCAAAGCTGTAGACTTGGGCTTTAAGGGAGCCCAGAGCACGCGAGAATGTTTTCTAGGTGTTGAACAGGCCGCAGGTAGCTCTGGAGTGCGGCCACTGGGCAAACAGAGCTCCCGGTGAGAGGTCGGGGTGCCGTACTGGCATGACGGCACAGTGGCAGTCCTCCCGCACGGCATTTGCACTTGGTGGGGATGTTCTCCACCAGGTGAAGGGCCTGGGCAACACACAAGGCTGGCTGGAGTCAGTCACACAAATGGCAACCGCTGAAATCCATAAAACGGGGCTAATGGGTAGGTAGAGGGGTCACATGTAGAGATTAACTCAGCACCCTCCCAACAGTGCTGTTGTAGTAAAAATAAAACATTTTTATTGTGGGTTTTTCCTACACTTAGAAACAAAGCACAGCTTTTTCACCTAACAAGGTAAAAATGGCAAATAGGACATCCAAATCGGTTTTGTGTCACGACTACCTCGCTAAAACTAGTCTATGTTATCTCAGACAGAAGACACAGCAGAGAACACCAGACCATTCAGAGGACCCAGGTTCGACAACATGCCTCTGAAACGGACGCTCTTTGGAACAGTCCTGGAATTCCTGCAAAGGCTTTGGAATCTCCTGTGTTTCTAATAGAACAATCACAAGAAGAGCCCGAAGGCCCAAGTTTCTCGCTTGTGCTGAAACGTACCATCTGTGCTAAATGCAGGTATAACGCAAACTGTGCCCCGCTGGGGTACTTGTGTGCTTCCTTAAGCACTCACAACAGTATATACACACCTTTCTTCGTGTAACTCACAACTTAACACATGACGAGAGCTACTCTCTGGCGGGGGGCAGGGAGAACCTTTCTGAATTCAGTCACCCCGAACACCTGGATGCCTCCTGCACACTGATGCTCAGGGAGGTCTGAACTGGAGGCAGATGCTACTCGGAGTAGCCTTCACTCAGTGGGGAAGACTGTAAAAGCTGTGTCGTTTGCTTGTATGACTCAGCCTGTGCCTCCGGGCTGAGTGGCTAAAGGAGAGAGGCAGAAAACAGGGGGTACAGACAGCAGACGAGTTTGGGAAGGCTAACAGAAGCGGTGGGAACCTTCTGAGGAACTCACAGCTGGCAGTTCCCAATCCTGCGAACAAAAGCTTAAATCATGGCATTCACAATCAAAACCATTTTATGCCATGAAGGTCATGGGATTTTTGCCATCAGTCCTGATAGCAGTTTTTAAAGTCCAAAGTTGTGCAGGCATTTTCGAGGGTAAAATGCATTTTGGAAGCTATAGCACCTACAGATTTTTTTAAAAGTCAGGAGCTTTGGGGTTTTCATTTTCCCCAGAAATAGTACCATTAGCAAGAAATTATTCACCTTCGTACTTTACACTGTTCTCCCCGTGTCAGTCGTGTCTGTGAATTACTGAAGCGAACCTTGAGTTCTTCTCTCACGTCTGACAGACAGTTGTACAGCAGTAGTAAAGAACTCCACGGTTCTGCGGGAAACAAGCTGTAACCACACACACAGCTGCAGGAAAGGCGGAATTACGGGCTTCCCAGACCACATCTTTTGGTTCAATATCATGTTATTTAAGACTAACAATATCAAAACGCTGTGATTAAAAAATGAAGCCATCGGCTTCATGGAACTGGCTTTTAAAAACAAGCCGTGGGTCTGCCTCCCTCGTGAGCTAACTTCGTTCATCCGTACTCCCAGCGGAATGGGCTGTGCTCTGCGGGACCTGGTACACCAGTTCGGCGGCGGCACCTGGCCCCAGCTGCCCCTTCGGGGTGTCGTACAGCGCCCGGGCTGACGATGTGCTGTCTGTCCTGGGTAAGAGTTTATTGTGAGTTCCGACCGGCGGCAGCGGAGCTTGATTCCCTGCAGCTTTGAAGGTGGAAATGGAAGGAACCCCCAGAGGTGTGCCTGCATGGCTGGACATGTCCATGATGATTGGAGTTGCGTATTCTGGTCCAGTTATAGGCAGTGGTTCAGCGTAAGCATGGTAAACTTCTTGTACAGGTGAGTTGTAAGGGTCCAAATCGGCGTAACTTGCCTCCTTCCCTTCCTCCGGTTTAAAGGTTGACCTCTGGTGCAGCGTGCTGACAATTCCCCCGACCAGTGGCTGCGCATACTCTGCGTCGCAAGCCAGACAGCACAACAACATAAAAAACATACTTAAAGGATTATTTTTTTACAGTGGCAACACATTAAATACCACCTGTCCACCACAGAAATTACTGCCCTGGGTCAAACCTGTGGTCCTGTCTCTGTCCGCCAGTGCCAACTGGGGATGAAAGTCGTTTCCACCCGCTAGTTGGAGCCGTTGGGACAGCTACAGCATCCTGACCTCTCAGGCTTGTCCTGCTTTCCTCGCGAGCGGCAGTGCCCCAGGCCATACAGCTGTCTCAGAGCAAGGTTACGCGAAGCACACTTCCCTCCAACATCGGCATGAAATGAAATTACCCTGCCTGGCTCTGGGCCAGAGGGTTTGTCCTCTGAGGGGACGCCTGCATATGGCCAGCTGGGATGTTTTAGCTCAACAGATAATCGGAGTTACGAAGGCTGGAGGTGAGAAACCTGGCTAGCAGGGCGAAAACAGGCAGGCAGCCGAAAAGGGGAAGCTAACTCTGCCTGCCGCGAAGCCCTAATTCCCGCAGCCCTGCGTACTTCTGCCACCAGCACAGAACCCGGGGCACAGTCAGTCATCTCCCACTAATGACTAGTTCACTGAGTAAAGGCGTGTGCTGTTATCAGTGCCTCCTCCTCCAAGCAAAAGGCAGCTGCCGTCCACACAGGCCGTGTAGGGCACCGAGTGCCACACCGAGACTTGTGCTTGTGGGCACATCCAGCGCGTGACGGCACGGCTAAATACGTCCTTCAGCCCTTACCGGGTTCAGGAGTAAGTACAGGTAAAGAAACCTTAGCTACTGCACTAGCTGGGGAAGGTGTCTACCCACAGCGCATCAGGTCAGTGAGTACCCGCTGCTACAACAGGCCGAGAACAGCCCAAGAAGCTCATGTCGTTAGGAGGAGCGCTTACCAGCACTAGTGTTCACTCCTCCTGCTCCCCAGAGCAAACGGGAAATTACAGGTAGCCGAATTCCTGACCTTTTTGGGCATTTTACATATATACACAGACACGTGCAATTACACACAGAGTAAAGCGTACCTGCAGACTCTGCTTGCAGTGTTGTTGGGACTTCTCTTGGTCTCAGGTGACTAATTTCACTGCTGCTGTAGCGTACGGGAGTTTCTTCGTGTTCTGCTGATTTGGTCGGGAATAACTGCTTCATTCCTTTCCACCAGCCTTCACGTGGATTAAAAAGACCCAAAACAAACCATGTGAGACTGCACACATACCCTGCTGTAAGCTACTGAAACTTACACCACGGCTTGTGTGTTGTGGCAGCAGGTATTTGCATGCCTGTCGTTCAAAGGTGGTGTTTTATTTTCTGGCAGACTGAAGATGGGGGGCGAGAACACGCCTCTCGCCCAGTCAACAACATGAAATTCCGAGAACGAAGCAGTTCAGTCTGTCCAGACAGACGCCGCGTTCGCTACGCCCATGCCAGTTAGCCTTGGCTTCTGCCAGCGGGAAGCGTCCGCCCGCGTTACCGCAGCCCGACATACGCGTCCAACCGAAAACGCCAAGTAACGGCCTTCGTAAAGCCGTTCTGTTACCTGCACGATCCCAGTAAGGTAGATCATAGGTGCCCTCAGTTTTCTTCTTGCTGTGGAAAAAAGACAAAGGGGGTGCCTCAGCCGGCCTGCGTGTCGGGAGCCGTGTGAATTAACGCTCGGCAGCTATCGCCTCGGCTGTAACTGCTCCTCGACTTCACGCGTAAGCACCAGTAGCCTGGCTTGCCATCACCAGGCTGCTGCTACTGCGGAGACCCGTGTTCAGCACGAGCACTTCGAATGAAAACAGCCACAGGAAGCTGCATTCGCTGTCCTCGCCGAGCGAGTGAACGCTTTCGCGGAGAACACAACTCCGAAAAAAACCTCCTTCCACACGTGCAGCCCACGTAGCTCCCACAGTGATGCATGCAGCATTTCATTCCCACACACCAGGGTAACATTCACTTCAAGTACTTCATTAATCTGTTCATTTACCGGTTTCTCCAATGCCACGCACAAACTAAGATAAGAATCAGAGTTGTGAAGACCATCACCAGCACTGGAACCAGAACGGCTGCTAACGCCACATCTGAAAGCCATTAAATTAAGTGGTGTCAGACAGGAGAGCTGCTCACAAGTCAGTTTTGCATTTGAAAATTACTTGGGTAAAGCACGCGGTTTTCAGGTACAGCATCTATCGCACCAGATCCCCCAGCTAAGCTCCCCTGCGGGGGGCTCCCGCGGTGTCAGCGGACACCCAGCTACGCTGCGTGTGCGCACAGCTGGAAGCTCTGCCAGGTTCTTCTTCTTTTAATGTAAGATTTTTTCTGTTCGAACAGTGCATTTTACTATTGACAAGGAAATTCAAAAGAGCCCAGGAATACGCAACCGCTTAAGTTTGAAACTCCTGTGAGAATACCACAGTACCTCAACAGCTCATCACAATCGGCCCACGCTGGGGCTGCCTGTGAGAGGAGACCGTCCTGGACCCTGCCATCCAAAGGACACATCACCAGTGCCCATGTCTGCCGAGATCTTGCTGCCCTTCCTGACCACTTTCTTTGCTAAAGGAAACTATGATGGTGCCAGTTTTTCCAGTTTTCATGCCAACGTGACTGCTCCGTAAAAGATTAACTGTGACAAAAGGGTTTTATCCCAAGAAATTACCAAATTAAACATCAAAGCAGTTCAATCTGGTTAATTCCTACCAGAGTTGGAAGCCCAAGTTGCAGCTTCTCCCTCTGACAAAGTGTGTCCAGACGTTAAAAGCTGAACTCCATTTGAACCGGTTCGGAAAGGCGGAGCTTAACACATACACTGACTTGGGAGATGGGTTCTGTCGTGTACTTAGTAACTGGTAAGTATTAAAAAGCAAGAATGGATGTTTTGCTATGTTATATTACGGGTTGAGAAAACCGAAATTCAGAGAGCACGCTAACGTATGCCCAAGTACCGTACGGGCTTCCCGAACACACGCACTGCTCGGCTGCGGGTACCTTTGGTTACGCTTGGGGTCACTGTGGTGTTTTTTATTTCGGGTGTGAACGTTGTTTTATCAGTCTGCAACAGCGTCTTCACCGAATGGATGGAGTCGTCGTTCCTGGGCGGCGGCGGCACGGTGAACCTAGGAGCGCGGCCTGCGGAAGAAGAGAGCGTATCTAAACGTGCCGGTTCGCCGTGTTCCCTTTTCCGGGGAAGACAGCTGCAGCAGGTTGCTCTGCAGCGTCTGCTGCTCTTACGTGAGGAGGAACGCGCCCCCAGTAACACGGAAAGCAAGCGACCACCTGCAACACCCGTTTCTCAATTACCGTGTTTACACCTAAACTGGGCATTCTCCAGCTTAAGCGTAATAACTCTGGAAGCAATTCAGCAGTACCGGTTGCAGAAGGATTATGCAGCTAAGAAGTACTTTTTTCCCAGTGGAAATGCACCCACAACGTAAGCTTTGCCAAATCATTTCACTGCTTGTCTGGCACGGTTGAAAGGTTTTCAGCGGCCTTACCTATACTGTACTGACAGCCCAGCAATTCCACCTTCATTGCAATTTTCTGGTGCCATTTTAAGGGGTTAATCCTAAAAAAGCGTGCAATAACAGGTGGAATGAAATTATTGCGAACTTCCTGGTACAGCTCAGTGTTCCCTTGAAATATCTGGGAAAGAAAAAAAGAGACAAGATCATGTTCCATGAATGCAGCAGCAACTAAGTAGCTACAACCAATTCTGATGTTTTATTTAGGAAAAATAAAGAGGTGCAGAACCCTGAGTATTCACCCCAGGAAGGTGCTGCCGCTGGCACACCTTCACGCGCTCAGCCCTGTGACACAGGTGACTGAATAACATGAAAGGAGGGGTGTGTGCAGAATAAAGGAACAGTGTCAGACTCTACCGACGGCAACACCTGCTGTTACAGGCACCTCGCGCGTTTATGGCACAGAATTGTTCTAACTGGGTCCTTTTTGGTCCATATTTGCCTTGAAGGCCTGTTGTC